CGCGTCTCTGCGCTCCGTCTCTCTCTTGTCTCGTCTCTGCTCTTCTCGTCTCTCTCTCCTCTGCTTCCTCTCTCTCTGCTCGTCTCTCTCTCTTGCTCGTCTCTCATCTGCAGAGTGAATTCTCGTCGTCTGGGTAGAAAGATGTGGGAGGGGATGGGTGGTGTGGAGGTGTGGTGTGTGGGGGAAGATGTGTTGGTCGGGAGAAGTGAGGAGGGATAGGGGCTGTGTGTGGTCGTGTGTGGAAAGTGTAAGGCCTGGTGGAGTGTGGTTGGGTGGTGGTTCTGTCTCTCTCTCTCGTCTCTCTTACTCTCGTCTCGTAGCTCTCAGTCTCTGCTACATCGGCTCTGAGCTCTCTCTCTCTGCTAGTCTCCTTCATCCGTCTCTCTCTCTCGCGTGCTGGTAGTGTCACTTGCTGTAGGTTGTGGGGGTGTTGTGTGGGAGTGTGCTGGATGTGGTGTGAGTGGTGGATGTGTTGGAGTGTCTCTCATGCTCTCTCTTCTCTCCTCTCTCTCGTCTCTCTCTTCGATGTCTCTCTCGTTGCTCGGTCCGTCCTCTCTCTCTCTTCGGTCGCTCGGGGTGTCTCTTCGGGTTACTAATCGGTCTCTCTCTTCTCTGCTCGTCCCTCTTTCTGCGCGTCCCTCTCTCTCTTCTCTCTCTCTCTCTTCTCTCTCATCTCTCTCTCCTCTCTCTCTCTCTCTCTCTCTCTCTCTCTCTCTCTCTCTCTCTCTCTCTGTTCATATTGTGTACACGCATGTCTCAGGAAAGATGTATACATGATAAGAAACGGATTCTTGATATGGAAAAGTTGTTGGTTTTTGGAAAGATAATGTAATAGTTAAAAATCAAAAATAAAAATAAAAACGTTTGTCGAGTCTAAAAATGGTTGATATTTACTGTACACTAATAAATGTTGGCAATGGTGGCTCGCATTCACATGGTCTATTTTACCTCGAGAGTGGTAAAATAAATAGTGGTATTTTAAAATAGAATAAATAGTGGTATTTTACCTAGAAGTGGCGAATAAAGTGGTGCAAGAGAAGGCCAGCTGTTTCTCACTTGCACGGTAACCTGCCATAGCAACAAGATGCGGCCGCCGGGTTCTGACGTCACGTGACGCCCCTTTTTCCACGGTTCTGAAAATAGACGATGAATTGTTTACAAAATCAAAATCTTCCGTGCAATATAAGATCCAGTCCGGGATATTGTGGCTTTGTGTATTATATATAATTATTCTTGGAAAAAAAAAATAGTATAGAACCTTAATAATTCGGAAAATTTCGGGAATTTTTTTTTTGCGGTTGTATTATATGTGATTTATCCTTTAGAAAAAAAAATAGAGATCCTTGTAATAGGGGGGGGCAGTGGTTGGCATCTTGAAGGTAGTCTGGTGAAGTTAAAGTAAACGCAACTTTACAACTTTATTGACACAGATGGGCAAGACAGAGGCACGCAAGGAGGAGTGAGTCCTGCCAAGCGCTCGAGACCATGAACAAAGTTCGTCTTAAACCATTCGCGAAGGGAAACATGAACGAATCTGAACACAAATCTTGAAATATTGGGCCCACATGACCGCGTCGTGGAGATGAACAAGGGATACCTTATGTACTCTGGTATGTGAAAAAAGACATGATGTTTCCAAGACTAAAAGCTTCATAAAAAAGAATGTCTGTAGAATATTCGTGAACACTTGATATCCTAGAATATGTAACTATAATGAATACAAAAGCAGTGCTATAGATTTTGCATTTTCTAAGGAACATTTTGAGTATACACAAGATATGAGAGAGAGAGAGAGAGAGAGGAGAGAAGAGAAAAAGAAAGAGGAAAGAGAGGAGAGAGAGAGAGAGAGAGAGAGAGAAAAGAAAGAGAAATAGAAAAGAGAGAGAGAGAGAGAAAAAAATGAAAAGAGAGATATCATCTATATCTACTGCCGTGTCCACAATTTAGCCTAATTAACGTCAGATCTTATTCAAAAGGTCCACTTCAGCCTCCGGTCGTCTCAGATAAGTAGGCCTACATGTGGTCATTTTAAGATTTAGGAAACGGCTTAACTCCTTATTGCTAAGAGTTACGACCAGAGGAATAAACACGATATGAGCGAGGCTGGTCATGCAGAGAGAGGAGAGAGAGAGAGAGAGAGAGAGAGAAGAGAGAGAGAGAGAGAAGAGAGAAAGAGAAGAGAGAGAGAGAGAGAGAGAGAGACAGAGACAGAGACAGAGAAGAGAGAGAGAGAGAGAGAGAGAGAGACAGAGACAGAGACAGAGAGAGACAGAGACAGAGAGAGACAGAGAGAGACAGAGAGAGAGAGAGAGAGAGAGAGAGAGAGAGAGAGAGAGACTTTTGACTTTGACAAGTTTACAACAAGAGACAGAGAGAGAGAGAGAGAGAGCGGTGTCTCTGTGACCCAGACTAGCGTGGCTCTTTCTAGAAGCAAGCCAAGATCGAAACCCCGTGGAACCAGGCTTGTAGGCATGAGACCACGTGGTCAGGATCATGGCATATATAGTATCTAAAAGCACGGACAGTATAGTATGCTATACATGCTATGTATGCTATACTCTCTCGTCTCTCTCTCTCTCTTCTCTCTCTCTCTCTCTCTCTCTCTCTCTCTCTCTCTCTCTCTCTCTCTCTCTCTCTCTCTCTCTCTCTCTCTCTCTCTCTCTCTCTCTCTCTCTCTCTCTCTCTCTTCTCTCGCTCTCTCTCTCTCTCTCTCTCTCTCTCTCTCTCCCTCTCTCTCTCTCTCTCTCTCCCTCTCTCTCTCTCTCTCTCTCTCTCTCTCTCTCTCTCTCTCTCTCTCTCTCTCTCTCTCCTCTTTCCCTTTCTCTCAAAATATAAATCTATATTAGAATAACTAATTTTGTGTTTATATTATTTTCTCAACACCATTATTATGCCCAGTGAAAATAAAAACCGTTATGTTTATCATTGATAACTGTTATCATTGTTATGATAAATGTGTTTATATATGCTGCCAAATTTGACAGTGTGTGCGTGTAAGTGAGTGAGTGAGTGACTGACTGACGTGAGTGACTGAGTGAGTGAGCGAGTAAAAGAGTAATGAGTGAGTGAGCGAGTTTGAGGCGTGAGTGAGTGAATGAATAAGTGAATGAATGAGTGTATGAAAGAGTGAGTGAGTGAATGAATAAGTGAGTAAGTGAGCGAGCGAGCGAGAGCGTATGTTCCCAAAGACAACTATTATCTTCCTGTAAATACACAAAGACCGAGAGACTTTACACAATAGCCATTTGACTAGTTTGCGAGTGAAACATTTCCGAACTATAATCGTCGTCTAGGAATACTTTTATCTAAGTTAATCCAACAACTCTTCCTCCTTCTTTTTATCATATTTCCTCTCTTCTAAGACCGTAACGAAACATCAGTGTAAAGTAGGAAAGATTTCGATAAAAGCGAGATAGTCCCAGGGATTGTTTACATAGTTGCGTAGTTGCCAGATGTCATTATCTGTAATTTGATTATTCGACCTTCACTCACTATTTACTTTTGGTTTATAGTTTCTGTTTATAGATTTCATGTATTCCAAGATTTTTGTTGTTTGATTTTCCTGTGATATTCCTGATCATCACAAGCGATGTATTCTATATGTTTCGTAATACATTTGTCGTTGGATGAGGTCTCTCTCTCTCTCTCTCTTCTCTCTCTCTCTCTCTCTCTCTCTCTCTCTCTCTCTCTCTTCTCTCTCTCTCTCTCTCTCTCTCCTCTCTCTCTCTCTCTCTCTCTCTGGCCAACCTAAACCTGGGTATTTTATTTATTTATTTATTTATTTTATAATTTTTTATTTCATTTTATTTTATTTATTTATTTATCTATTTGCTATTTTCTAATGTCTATTGGAAATAGAGAGAAAGAGGTAAGGAAGGACTCTCGAACAACCCATATCCAAGTACTTGTTCTTCTTTTGACAATAATTATAAAAATGGTAGTGATGGCGCTGCTTCCGGTCTAGGACATTGCGAATGCCTAGAGCGAAAGTTGATGACGAAAACTCAGCCTGAAAACTCAGCCTGAAAACTCTCCTGGGTAATTATTGTCTGACGGGACGACCTTCCTGAGTTCCAGATCGCCGTGCCATCCTCCTCCTTCCGGACCACCATGCGATGTACAGTCTGCAGGAGGGATTACAATGCCCGCCGCCGCCTGCCGCTCATCCTGCCCTCCTGCGGCCACACTTTCTGCAGGTTGTGCCTCCTGGAGCTCGAGGAAGAGAAGGGGAGGTTTAGATGTCCCAGCTGCGAGTGAGTGCCTTGCCCTCCAACAGCTGACTTCCTAATCTTTTCTCAGTCTTAAAAAAGCATTTTTTTTTTCTGAATGTCCAGTGTGAGTGAACTTTTAGGTTAGGTTAGCTTTTTTGGTTATTATGTGATTAGGTTAGATTTTTTTATGTTTGTATTAATTTTTATGTGATAGTATATTTTATTATGTGATTAGGTTTATATTTTATCATGTGTAGGTTATATTTTAATAGATTAGGTTATTTTTTTATTATGTGATGTAGGTTTATTTATTTTTATTATGTGATTATTATTTTTTATTATGTATTAGGTTATATTTTTTATTTTATTGATTAGGTGTTATAATTTTTATCATGTGATTAGGTATATTTTATTATGTGATGTATTAGGTTATATTTTTATTATGTGATTAGGTTATATTTTTATTATGTATGATTAGGTTATATTTTTATATGTGATTATGGTTTATTTTTATTATGTGATTAGGTTATATTTTTATGTGATTAGGTTATATTTTTTATTGTGATTAGGTTATATTTTTATTATGTGATTAGGTTATATTTTATTATGTGATTAGTTATATTTTTATTATGTGATTAGGTTATATTTTATTATGTGATTAGGTTATATTTTTATTATGTGATTAGGTTATATTTTATTATGTGATTAGTTATATTTTATTATGTGATTAGGTTATATTTTTTATTATTGTGATTAGAGTTATATTTTTATTATGTGATTAGTTATATTTTTATTAGTGATTAGGTTATATTTTTATTATGTGATAGGTATATTTTTTTATTATGTGATTAGGTTATATTTTTGATGTGATTAGTTTTATTTTTATCATTTATTATGTGATTTTATGTTTGTTTTTTATTATGTATTAGGTTATGTGATTAGGTTATATTATTTTGGTGATTAGGTTATATTTTTATTAGTTGGTATTAGGGTTATATTTAGGTTATATTTATTATTAATTAGGATTTTATATTTTGATTATGTGATTAGGATTAGATTATATTTATTATGTGGATTAGGTTATATTTTATATGTGATAGGGTAATTTATTATGTGATTAGTTTTATATTTTATTATGGTGGGATTAGGTGTGATTAGGTTATATTTTTATTATGTGATTATTATATTTTTATTATTGGATTAGGTTTATATTTTTTTATTATGTGATTAGGTTTATTTTTTATTATGTGATTAGGTTATATTTTATTAGTGATTAGGTTTTATTTTTATATGTGATTTAGTGTTATATTTTTATTATGTGATTAGGTATATTGTTTATTATTGATTAGGTTTATATTTTTTATGTATTAGTTATATTTTTATTATGTGATTAGGGTTATATTTTTTTATTATGTTATGTGATGTGTTAGGTTTATTTTATTATGTGTAGGTTATATTTTTATTATTATGATTAGGTTATATTTTATTATGATTAGGTTATATTTTTTATTATTGATTAGGATTTTTTAGGATTAGTTATTTTATTATGTGATTAGGTTATATTTTTATTATGTGATTAGGTTATATTTTTATTATGTGATTAGGTTATATTTTTTTATTATGTTAGTTATATTTATTATTGTGGATATTATTTTTATTATGTGATTAGGTTATATTTTTATTATTGATTAGGTTATATTTTTATTATGTATTAGGTTATATTTTTTATGATTAGGTTATATTTTTATTATGTGATTAGGTTATATTTTTATTATGTTAGGTTATATTTTATTATGGATTAGGTTATATTTTTTATTATGTTATTAGGTTATATTTTTTATTATTGATTAGTTATTATTTTATTATGATTAGGTTTTATTTATGTGATTAAGGTTATATTTTTATTATGTGATGATTAGGTTATATTTTTATTATATGTGATTAGGTTATATTTTTATTATTGATAGTTGATTATTTGAATATGTGATTAGGTTTATATTTTTATTATGTGATTATTAGGATATTATGTGATTATTATATTTTTTGAATAGGATTAGGTTATATTTTATTATGTGATTAGGTTATATTTTTTATTATTGATTAGGTGATATTTATTTGTGATTAG